ACTAAAACTTGACCTTCCATATGATTCAGCAATTCCTCTCCTGGGAATATGCCCCAAGGAGCATAAATTGTTCTACCCAAAAGACAACTGCACACAAATGTTTATAGCCACATTATTTACAATAGCAACAACATGGAATCAACCATACCGCCCATGAAAAGTGAACTGGATAAAAGAAATGTGGTACATATATACACTATAGAGTATTACACAGCCATAAAGAAGAAAAAAATCATGGACTTGGAAGCAAATTGGATGGAGTTGGAGACCGTCATCGCTTGTGATCTATCACAGAATCAAAGAACTGAATACCACATGTTTTCACTCATAGTGGGAACTGAACATTAATCACAATAGCACAAAGGAGGGCACTTCCGGTGGGGGGGGCACATAACAACACAAAGGGTATCTGGTCCCAAACCAGAGGAAGTGAGGCCCAATTGGAGGCCCAAACTTCACCTGCATGCAGCCTACTGTGTAGTTAATCCTTGTACCCTACATCTGTATAAAAAACAAAATTAAACTAAAAACTGCCACAAATCATTAGAAAAAATGTGCAAAAGATTTGAGTAGTCATTTGACAAAAGATAAAATCCAGAGAGCTAATAAACACACGAAAATATGCTCACTCTTATAATAATCAGGGAATGTAAAATAAAACCACAGTAAAATACCTCTATATACCCACTGGAAAGTCTCATAAAGCAAATGTTGATGAGGACAGAGAGCAGTGAGAATGTATATTGGTACAATTTAGAAATAGTATCAAGTTGGAAATATACGATCCAGCAATTCCACTCTTAGAAATACACCCAGAAGCTTGTGTATATGTGCACCAGGAGCTACTGCAGAAATCTTCAAAGTAGCTTTATTTATATGTTTATTATTTTTTGAGTCAGAGTCCTACTCTTTTGCCCAGGCTGAAGTGCAGTAGCACATCATGGCTACTGCAGCCTCGACCTCCTGGGCTTAGGTATCCTTTCACCTCATCTTTCCAACTAGCTGGAAGGAGCTACAGGTGCATGCCACCACACCTGGCTAATTTTATTTTTTTTATTGTGGAGACAAGATCTTGCCAAGTTGCCTAGGCTGGTCTCGAGCTCCTGGGCTCAGGCAGTCCTCTCGACTTCACCTCCCAAAGTGCTGAGATTACACTGTACTTGGCCAGAGCAGCATTATTTATAATAGCAAAAATTGGAACCAACCAAGATCCATGAACAAAAATGAACAAATAAATCATAGTGTGCCCATATAATGGAAAAATATAGTTATGAAAAGGAATTAAGACAGCTAAAACCATTAATGTGAAGGAATCTTATGATGGTGAAAGGAAAAAACCAGCACTAAAAAATATATTGTATGATTCCATTTATGTAAAGCACAAAAAAAAAAAAGGTAAAACCAAACAGTAGTTTTTAGGAATGGTTATTTGGTGAAACAATAAAAGTGTAGAAATGATTACCATAACAATTGGGTTAGTGATTTTGAGATGTGAAGGGAAAGATTTGTGATCAGAAAGGGAAAGGCAGAGATGGGCGTCTGGGTTGCTGGCCATGCACTTCTTGATCTAGATAGATACGTGGTTATTTGTTTTCTTATAATTCATTAACCTTAACTTGCATATTTTATGTACTTCCTGCATCTGTGGGGTTTTTTCACTATTTAAAATAGGTTTTTAAATACATATATGTGATGCATACATAATACATCCATATATGTGTCTATTGGTGCATATGTGAAGACGTGAACGGTGGTGATAAAGATATACGTCCTTGGGCAGAATGGTGTTGGTACATGTGCTGGGGTATCTGCTCTGGCAGAAGGCCTTGCTAATCCTCATTAAGACAGCTTAAGCCTCCTGCGTATATTTGTAATTACAATCAAATTGTGAGAAAAGAGGTCTGTAAACTTTAATCTTGACACATTTTAAATTTCCTAAATGCCTTAGATCTTACTCTTTAGGGAGAGATTTGTTTGCCATATCATTGGTAGTGTAGCAAAATGAAAACTTTCTTGTGACTTTCTGTCAGTTTTATGCCAGAAAATTACCTGTAGCCTTCCTTTGCAGTGTTTCAGAATAACAGTATGTTTATATTTTATTTTTGTTTTCTCTCCACCTTCACCTCTGTTTTATAATTGTGCGTGGATAGAATGATACCTCTGAAAATTCGTTTTTGAACTAATCTTTTGTATATATCATCTTAGGTTTTCTTGATATGCAAAGGTATGTTACAATTCCAACATTATAAGTTGGGATTTGCATAGATCGTTCGTATTCTCGAGGATTTTTCATCATAGTTTTCAATTCTAGTCGCCACACATTTCTAACCCTAGCATTCTGTATCCAAGGAAACGCCCTACTTTAAGCATGGCACAGTGCAAACGTACCTTCTAAGGAAGTAGTCCAGGTGGAATATTCTGAGGTAATATTCAAAAGAAGGGTCATAGTGTTAAAAAAAAAAAAGCTAAACTGTATACACTAAAAGGAAAGTGTTAAGTAGATATATTTTTAAAGTCTTTGTTTCTCCTAAATGACAAGCTGAAACTGCCATTGCTGTTTGTGTGTCCATATACAGCTTAGGAAAACCAATGACTTAAAATAAAATCCAACTGCAATGTAAAATTTAAATTTAAAAATCTCTGGCACAGTGGCTCATGTCTGTAATTCCAGCTCTTTGGGAGGCCAAGGAGGGAGGATAGCTTGAGGCCAGGGATTTGAGACCAGCCTTAGCAAAATAGAGACCCTGTCTCTACCAAAAAAAATAAAAATTAAGTTAGCTGGGCTAGGTGACACATGCCTGTAGTCCCAGCTACTCAGGAGGCTGAGCCAGGGGGATGGCTTGAGTCCAAGATTTCAAGGCTGCTGTGAGCCGTCATCTCACCACTGCATTCCAGCTTGGGTGAGAGTGAAACTTTATTTCTTAAGGAAAAAAAAAACTCAGTGTAGCAAATGTATTTTTAAGGCCAGTTGATTAGTATTTATCTTTTTTAAAATTTCTTTTTGATTTTAAATATGTGGAGTACAAGTCAGGATTGGGTACATAAGTGGTTTATTTACCCAATTGGTAGTATGGCAAAATGAAAACTTTATTGTGACCTTTAGTCAATTTTATGCCAAAAAATTAACTATACCCTTCCTTGCAGTGTTTCAGAATAACAGTATATTTATATTTTAATTTTGTTTTCTCCTCCCATTGGACCTGGATTGGAGTCATACACCCTTAATTAGCATTTATCTTAAAGAGTATCAAATATACCCAGAGTATTTAGACACACCAGTTTAGGTTAAAATACAAAGATGAGTAAGGTATATCTGCTCTAACAGGAGACAGACATGGATGCAAATATAAAATCTTCACTGCGATTAATGTTATCATGAAAGATATAATATATTTAAGATATTAAGGGCATAATAAAAATGGATCTGATATGGAGTGAAGTTTTCTACGAAAATCAGTTTTAAAAATGAAATTCGGGCTGGGCTCGGTGGCTCAGCCTGTAATCCCAGCACTTTGGGAAGCCTAGGTGAGTGGATTACCTGAGCCCACGGGTTCGAGACCCTCTCGGGCAACTTGGCGAGATCTCATTTATACAATAAATAAAAAAAAAATTAGCCGGGCGTAGTAGCGCACACCTGTAGTTCCGGCTACTTGGAAGGCTGAGGCAGAAGGATCATCGGAGCCCAGCAGGTCAAGGCTGCGGTGGCCAGGAGCATGCCACTGCACTCCAGTCTGGGCGACAGAGTGAGACTCCTACTCAAAAAAAATAAATAAATAAAAACAAATAAAATTGGGATGTAAGTTATATCTCTAAAATACCTTATTGTGTTGGTTAGCCTCAGATAGCTTCAAGTTTGTTTTTCTTTCAGTTTTTATTATGAGCATTTTAAAACACATGCAGAAATAGCATTTAATAAATCACCATGTACCCATTCCTGAAAAAAGTTTTAAATTAATGAAAACCTTTACATTAATGAAAACCCTTTTTAAAGACACGACTTTTAAAGTTCAAGTTGTAGATTTATTGACTTCTCCAGAACAATAACATCTATATAAATATGAATTCAAATATACTTGTGGTGTAGGTTGAAATTTACTCACAACCCCTTTCTTTTCAATAACTTGCTATTTAAGACCCATTAGTGGATATATTTTAACTTTATATAACAGATATGTGTGTTATAGGCATATACTGTGGAGGTTTGTTTGTTTATTTATTTATTTGAGACAGAGTCTTACTCTGTTGCCCAGACTGGAGTGTAGTGGTAGAATCATAGCTTAACTATAACCTCGGACACCTGGACTCAAGTGATCCTCCCACCTCAATCTCCCAAAGCTCTGGGATTACAGGCATAAGCCACTATGCCCAACCATATTCTACAGTATTTTATAACATTTCCTTTTAAACATAAGCCTAATATCTAGAATAACAGTGTAGTGGTTTTAGTTACCTTCAGAGCTGAGTTTCAATTTGTTTAGGTGCTACAAGATATTGTGAAAGGTGTGATATAATTTCAAATAGAAAAATGAAATAAAACTTTTGTGTATTTACGCTGCTCTGGCAATTCATTTTCAAACTCAAATCTTCAAAAGTGTGTCATCTAAATAATTCATTTTCAGCCGGGCTCGGTGGCTCAGCCTGTAATCCCGCACTTTGGGAGGCTGAGGTGAGTGGATTGCCTGAGCCCGCGGGTTCAAGACCCGCCTGGACAACTTGGCAAGACCTCATCTCTACAATAAATCAAAAAATTAGCCAGGCGTGGTAGCGCACGCATGTAGTTCCAGCTACTGGAAGGCTGAGGCAGAAGGATTGCTGGAGCCTGCTCCCAGCCACTGCAGTCTGGGTGACAGAGTGAGACTCCAACTCAAAAAATAAAAAATTAAATAAATAAATAAATAATTCATTTTTTTAGTTTCTTGTAATTCTTCATAATGAATTCCTTATACCACAGCTCCTATGTTATCTCAAATTTTGGTTATTTTGTTCACATTGTTCTTTAGATGCCATTAAACTACAGCTGGTTGAAGCAGGCCTGGTAGAGTGTCTACTAGAGATTGTCCAGCAGAAGGTGGATAGTGACAAAGAGGATGATGTCGCTGAACTCAAAACCGGTTCAGACCTAATGGTTTTGTTACTTCTTGGAGGTGAGTTGTAATTTATGCCGGCCAGAAAAAACTATCAGATTTTTAAAAATGTATTAAATCTCTTTTGTAGACACTGCACTAGGCATTTTCTCATTTTTCTATTACATCCTGATGATGTTATGATTTTGAAGCCTTAAACGTGTCATGGATAGAGCTAGATATGATGAACCTGAAAAAGAGAAGTCTTTGCTGTCATCCAGTACTTAAAGAGCTGTCATATAGAGGAGCTAGCTGTGATACCAAAGGACTAGGAGCTAGGTGACTACTTTGGACTTAGACTAGAAAAGGCTAACCTTTACTCATGTATATACGTGTGTGTGTGTGTGTGTGTGTGTGTGTGTGTGTGTGTGTGTGTGTGTGTGTGTGTGAAAAGCTTATTGTATTTGTTGTATTAAATATTTTATTTTATATATTAAAAGCCTCTGTTAAAAGTTTAAAGTTTATTATAAACAGAGTCATTACTTTTCCTTTTATGGACTTAATAGTTTGTGAAGTATGTAGTTTCCCAGTTGGACATTCACCTATGCATATGATTTTGTTACTTTTAGTTCATTTTCTCTCTTTCTTTTAACTATTTGTTTCACTTACCTCCAGATGAATCCATGCAGAAATTATTTGAAGGAGGAAAAGGCAGTGTATTTCAAAGGGTGCTTTCTTGGATTCCATCAAATAACCACCAGCTTCAGCTTGCTGGAGCATTGGCAATTGCAAATTTTGCCAGAAATGGTAAACACATTGGTTCATCTTTTGTTAATCAGATATTCTGTTTTTGCTTTTCTGTCATAGGTACTAAAAATGGAACACTTTATAAGTTTGTGTAATATGTGTATGTGCTGCCTAGCTTTTCAGAAAGTGACTTTCCTACAAATTACATATTTTATGCAATTCAACTGAATTCTAATACTTTAAAGATCATGACCAGTGACCATGAAGTGCTTCTTTTGAGTATTTTGTATTTCATAGCTTAGTAAAGTTGAGACTCATTCTAATAGACATCTGCTTTCTTTTGCCTGGTGATTTTATTTTGGATCTGATGATCTTGAGTTTTCGTTCTAAGGTTATTGTGCCTCCGTTTATACTTTTATGCCAATAAAACTTAAATATGAATAATCCTCTGATTTACATTTATGAAATCTGACACTCCTAAAAAAAACTCATAGCCTAAAAGCTCATTCTTATACTGTGTATGGGAAAATATAGGTCATTTAAAATTTTATTCTAATATGAACTGATGGTATATAGTATATCATAATGGCTACCTTACTCTGTTTTTATTCCCTCCTTTTTGGGAGTAATTCCCTAATAATGGAGTTTAGTGGTAAAGTATTGGTAATTGTTGAAGCCAAATATGGGGTAAATAGTGGCTCATTATAATATTCTCTCTGCTTTATAAATGTTTGAAAAATTAATTTAAAAAACAATTTAGGTACAAGCCATGATAACAAAAGGTAGAGAACTATCACTATCACATTGTCAGAGTACAAGTATACTTCACAATAAGTGAAAAATATTAGATATTCTGAGCACATGGTTCCTACTTATTTTCTGATGTATATTATCAGACACCAAGCTAAGAATTTCTCTGATAATTTTCCTGATTTTTAAAATTTTATCTAATTTAAGAATCTTCAACAGCAGACTTCTCATTCAGTAAACAGAAAAACTGTTTAAGCCTGATGGGAGAAAGAACTGGAATTCATTTTATTTTTGTAGAGCTCCATTTTCCCTAATGTAGATAATGGCAGGCATCAGTATTATAAAGTATTTATAGACATTTTTAAAGAGGAAGAAAAAATGTTTTTGTTTTGTTCAGATGGAAATTGTATTCATATGGTGGACAATGGAATTGTAGAAAAACTTATGGACTTACTGGACAGACATGTAGAAGACGGAAATGTAACTGTACAGCATGCAGCACTGAGTGCCCTCAGAAACCTGGCCATTCCAGGTAAGACTTCACAATAGAAGGTGGCTATTACAAGTCAGATCCATTATTTGGGGAAGATACTTACTGTACGTGATTTGTGGACCTGTCCTGACTGAGAAATGGAAAAAAAAAAGTCTTTAAATTGTTTGCATTTTTCATAGTAATAAATAGATCATATGTTAAGTAAGTTTTCTGAGACTGTACAATAATAATTTTTGCGTTTGTTCAGCCTATTCAAACTGTATCGTTAAGCTTTTAAAAGCAACTTCACTTGAGGTAGGATAATGACATCAACAGATTCTAATAAAGAATGATTTTTTTCATTTTTTTCCTATGAGCAAATATACAATTTTTAAAAATAGCCTTAATGTGTCTTTGAATTAAAGGCTTTTGAACCATGAACTCACATTATCATGAGAAATCATATACAACATAGTTAAAACTATTCTTTTATTCTACTTTCCAAAAATAAATTCCTAATCAGATGAAATAGTATATTATATGAAGATCTAATCCATATGAATTCAATTTGGTTCATAAGTACATTAATATTTTTTATTAATGTCTGCATTAATACAAATGGGTCAAAGACAGAGGTAAAGAGAAACATGCATTAAAGTTGAGGAATTGTGCTTTTTATTGTAAGATGGTAGCATTTTCATTTCTTTTTATAAATTATGTAAGTAAATGTTTTGCAACTTCATTTAAAAAGCCAGTTATTATGGTTTTGTCTATTATGCTCATACATAAATAGTATACTTACACATACACTCAATTCCATTTTTTAAATTCATATAAAAACTCACAGGATTGTTTGTTAATAGAAAAATATAACACGGGGGCTTAACAAATTTATGTTGAATTGAATGTTTATTTTCAGGAATGCTAACACCATTTTAACCATAGTCTCTCTTTCTCTACAGTTATAAATAAAGCCAAGATGTTAACAGCTGGAGTCACAGAGGCAGTTTTGAAATTTCTTAAATCTGAAATGCCCCCAGTTCAGTTCAAACTTCTGGGAACATTAAGAATGTTAATAGATGCACAAGGTAAAAGAAATGTTTTCCCAAGTTGCATTTTTGTTATGATAGTCTTACTGTGCCTGTAGTTGAAAAAGGACTTGTTTTTAACTTTGAGGATTATGCAATAAGAAATAAATGACAAAAGGTAAAAAGAGATTGATTTGAGAACCCCATTTATTAATTCCCATGCATGTTATATTTGATTTTAAAGGGAAATTGTACTATATCTCTCTTTATCAGTACATAAATATTAGTAAATAGTACAGACTAGGCGTGGTGGCCCACGCCTATAATCCCAGCACTTTGGGAGGCCAAGGTGAGAGGATTGCCTGGACCTATGGGTTCAAGACCAGTCTGGACAACTTGCTAAGACCTCATCTCTACAATGAAAAAAAGATAGCTGGGCGTGGTGGTGTGTGCCTATAAATTAGTACATAAGCATTAGTACTTTTTAGGTTGGTTTATTACCAGTTCCAGAGGGGTTTTTGTGTTTTGGCATTTATACACATTTTTAATCTTTGAAATCAAATTTTAGCCGGGCTCGGTGGCTCAGCCTGTAATCCCGCGCCTTTGGGAGGCTGAGGTGAGTGGATTGCCTGAGCCTGCGGGTTTGAGACCCACCTGGGCAGGCGAGACCTTATCTTTACAATAAATCAAAAAATTAGCCAGGTGTGGTAGCGCGCGCCTGTAATTCCAGCTACTCGGAAGGCTGAGGCAGAAGGATCGCTGGAGCTCAGCAGGTCGAGGCTGCGGTGGCCGGGAGCGGCCACTGCACTCCAGTCTGGGTGACAGAGTGAGACTCCAAATCAAAAAAAAAAAAAATCAAATTTTTTTTTTGTGACAGCCAGAATTTTTTAAAATGTGTTTTACAAACAGGGAGAGCATTTTTCTGTTTGCAGAAAAAGCAGTGAAAACCACTTCTAGGAATGAATTAGATTTACTTATTTCTAAGTTCTAAGCCCTTTTTATATAGATTGCTTAGAGTCCTTCTAAAACCCTTTACTGCAGTCTGCCCTGGTACTAACAGACTACCACGGTTAATTGACAAAGAATGAAGTCATGTGTTTTTGTATTTTATATGATCCACAAAGTTATAGAGAAAGCCAAATAGCTCATCACTAAGCAGTATTTGCAGTTCTTGCTTTCATAAAATTGTCGTGTTGTGTTTTTAAGATGTATAATTTTCCTTCACAGTCTTACATCTTCATGAGTTATTTCAGCTTATTGCTTCTTAGTGATTCATTTCTTTGCGATTTGCCTTCTTTCCTATAGCAGAAGCTGCTGAACAACTGGGAAAGAATGTTAAATTGGTGAAGCGTTTGGTGGAATGGTGTGAAGCCAAAGATCATGCTGGAGTGATGGGAGAGTCCAACAGGCTGCTCTCTGCCCTCATACGACACAGTAAATCAAAAGTAAGTTCCATGGGAGACCATTCACTAGAAAACATGAGTGACTTTTTTGGCAACCCCAGCATCGTATATCCCACATCACTAGCTTGCATTTTTGTGTATTTATTTACTAATACATTAATCAACAATTCTGAAAAAAAGATTGACAGTTGAGCTTTTGTATTTAGTTGTATCTTATAATAGTTAAGAGTAAGACTTTGGAATCAAGCAGAGATGGGTTCAGTTTTGTCTCTACTGTTTAAATGGTTAAGTCTCTGCACATCTTAATGTCTTAATATGTAAAAACTGGGATATTATTTACCTGATAGTATCGTGAGGATTCAGTAATATCGTGTATATGATATACTCAGCTGGTACCTAGGACAGAAGAAGCACTCAGTAAATCCTATGGTTGCTCTTGCCACTGCTGTTGTTATTGTTACTTTTACCACCGCCATTACCAGTATCAGTGTCAAATAACTTCCATGTGCCAGCATGCTAGCTACTGATATTTAGAAATTAAATTATACCTAGATAGTATATGATGTGTAGAATTCACAGAGCTTTATTATTCTCATGATAGTGTCCAGCATAATATTTGCATGTCTGTTGCATAGCAGATAACCAGTGAACGAACAAATGAGCTATTTTAAAGGTCACAGTGATGGGAACCCAGGCCAGCAGTTCAGCTACTGATTTTGTATCTGAATTTTATTCTTTTGTACTCTCCTTTCTAAGGTGATCCTTTGATTGTTTCATTTGTTGTACAACTTTAGCAGTGATTGTATATGAGAACAAAGTCAGTTTAGAACTCAAATCCACCAGCTATTTTCATGTGTTTATAGAACTGATAAAAAGAAGATGGCTGGCCAGGTGTGGTAGTTCATGCCTCTAATCCCAGCACTTTGGGAGGCTGAGACAGGGGAATCGCTTGAGACCAGGAGTTTGCGGCCCGCCTAGCCAATATAGTGAGACCTCATCTCTGCAAAAATCCAAAAGATTTGCTGGGTGTGGCAGTGCACACTGTAGTCCCAGCTACTCAGGAGGTTCAGGCAAAAGAATCACTTGAACCCAGCAATTCAAGGCTGTAGTGAGCTGTGATCGTACCACTGCACTCTAGCCTGGGCACAAGAGTGAGACCCTGACACACACACACACGAAAAGAAAATGGCAAGAAAAAAAGCTTAAAAGTAAGTGTTCATTTCTTTCATATAAATGACTTCAGCAGAACTGCTGTCTCAGCTGATTAGCCACAGGAATGTTCTCCCCATTAGATACTAAATCTTAAGATCATTCCCTGGGGAAAAGCAGCTGTTAAGCAGGACTTTCTTATTACCTGTCTCACCCACACCAGCCTAAAAGCCTATACCTTTTCATTGACGCAGCACAGGACCAAGCAGTATGTTGGCACATTGGAAAATATCAAGAAAGAATATTAAAATGACCCCCTTGCATACCCCTTTCATCCTTTCTCCATCATACCTGCTCTCTTGGGCCCATTTGTTTATTTAACAGTTAATATTTTAGTGCAGTGCAAATTTGATTTAATACAGGGTTACTTTAAAGGAATCAACTGTCTAGTGAATGGACAGACATAAAAATAGCTAGCTTAGGTACAGCATTAAAGCCACATATATCATTCAGGTGTAACAGAGGGAAAAAAACAGACACTGGGTGGTTCAGGAGGGTGTCATAGAAGGAATGTTATTTTAAAGATTGACTAGGAATGTCTCAGGAGAAAGGGAAGAGAAAGGAGAGAAGGGCCTTTTCAAACAAAGACAACAATGTATACAAAAATTGATGTAAAGCATACTTTTAGAGAGAAACTTAAAATAACTCAATATTGCTGGAGCATAGAGTGTGTAGAGACAGTGGCCAGAGAAGATGAGAATTAGGGATTAAGATGAATTAATATGCTCTTAAAGGGTTTTAAGCCGAAGAGTGTCATTATTTGGTTTTCATTTAGAAAGATGACTAGAACTTAAAGGGGACAGGAAGAACAATCAAAAAGTTAGTGCAAAAATATACAGGAGAGAGATGAAGGCCTGAATTAAGGATTGGGATTAAGTGATTTGAAATTGATGATATTCAACCATTTTGACACACAGAAACAAATTTCATATGACTCATCCAACTAATAGCAGTGGAGATGAAAGAGAAGAACGTAAGATATAGGTAGTAGAATTGACAGATTCAGGAGTAGTATTAGAAGAGGAGGTGGTTTGAGAGATTATTTCCAGGTTTGGGACTTGGTGCCAGGTTGGGTTACTAACAGAATTATGTAACCAAACCATTAGTGGACATGCAAATATGTCCATAAGAAGATGCATCAAACTTCTTGGGAACAACTGAGTTTAGGAGCCACAACAATTTAAATGCTATAATATTAAACAAATTTGAAGACTTTGAGGCTTTTCTGTGAATTGTATTTAATCACAGATTTCCCTTTCCCTGATCTAACCTCTCACTTCTTCCTCCAGTCCACAAAATGTTTGGCATACCCATCAAGCATCCATCACCTTTGCAGGTTCTTTGACAGACAAAAATGTGGCATGGTACCTTTCTTGGAACGTGTGGCTGTGTTTCTGTATGTAACAGAAAACAACTTGAAATTATATAGCATTGCAGCTTTATAGTCACATAAATTTTGGTTTATAATTCAGTACCAAATGGCTGGGGTTTTTTTCCATTTACAAACCAAAATTTATTTAAAGAATTGTGTATTTATTCATAATTTTTGTAAATGTTTAGATTTTAGTCACCTTCAAAGTACTCTCCTTTTGATGTAATACACCTATTGAAGATGCTTTTTCCACCGCTCAAAGTAGTTTTTAAACTCATTCATTTTTATGCTTTTTAGCGCTTCTTTCATTTTTTGGTTCACCTCTTCCACATCAGCAAAATGTTTCCCTTTGAGGACTTTTTTCATACAGGGAAACATTAAAAAGTCACTTGGGACTAGATCAGATGAATAGGATGGGTGAGTCATGGGGGTCATGCCGTTTTTGGTCAAAAACGGCTCAACGCTCAGTGCTATGTGGGCAGGTGCACTCCTATATCACCCTATCATGAATTTGGCAAACACGTTGAAAGAATCTGCAAAAGAAAAAGTGATGCTAAACTCAACCTTTCACAATAACACTAGCTGGTACACTGATGCAGATGGGTTCCTAGAGCACTTAACTAGTGGGGGAAACCTGTACTACAAGGGGCATGCCCTTGAAGCTAATTCCAGGTTTCTGGGGTCTCCCCTTGATCAAGCAATAGGAAACTTGATTCACACACTTCAGTGATCAGAACTATCAGGTGTGTTCGTTGCGTGAGTTTCAGGTCAGAACTTTTAAATTTATTTTTGAACTTAATCAACATTAAAGTTCAATCAGTGATTACTTTTGAGCAGCAGCTCTTACAGTTTGTTTCATCCAATAATCCAAGAAATGTCTCACAAAGAAAAAGGCTGTTTGGTTAGATTAGTTGTAGAAATAGTACATTCCCTTTCCTTGCCTTTGGGATTCACAACACTCATGAGGACTGTTCTAGAGAAACCTCCTTAACTTTATTTAATCCATTAATTTCCAAAGTCTTTGCCCACTGATCCTTTTTGCAAGTACTATCTATTAACACTACATTGGATATACTTTGGAAAATGCTGTTCTGGAATAGGCTTTTAAAATAGTTAACCACAAAATTCAAGTTTGTTACATTCCTGTAGATCCTTAAACCAACTGATGCAAATCACAGCTTTCTCCTTGTGTTGTTCTTAAACTTTGAAGATTATACTTAACCCTGAATTCTGAGTCCAACCCTCCAAAATTTTGTGATGACTCACAAGGTTTATGCTGGTTTACTTGGCCATATGCAGTGTATTCCTGTTCTTATGCCATTAGTAAATTCATATCTCTTAAAACAGTGCCCTAGTCTATACCTTTTGATCAACTAGCTGGACCTTCCAACTGTAGACATCAAAAATGGAAAAAGAAATAGTTTGCCTCTACACTGGGAGTATAAAAGCACTCTTCTTATTAAAGTCAGCACTTTAGCAGACCTTGAACAATTGCAATACTATAAGAAAGGAATTGGCAGTAGTGGGAAACTGTCAGGGAAGGGGCGGTGGGATTGTCAGTTGAGGGAAACTACTAGGGGAGGGAGGGGCACACGTCATCAACAAGAGTCCCTGCATAATCAACATTTGTATACCTAACCCTGAATTGTACCCCACATCTTTATAATAAAAAAAAAAGTACTTTTCTTTACCCTTTACATATATAACATTCTATGTCAGTTATCAGGCTAAAAATTTTTTTAAACAAATGGAGTCATTTGCTCACTCATCCAACCAACATTTATTTAAATACCATACTAAGAAAGCTTTGATGATACAATCTTGAAAAAGAAAATTTTTGTTGTGTGGCTCACCAACTCAGTAACTATACCAACCTGCAATTTTATAAATTATCTCAAATCCAATCCTATTCCCAAACATCTCATTGTGATCAACATTATACAGTTTTCAACAGTCTTTAGCTAAATTAATTTTGATAATCAAGGACAAATTGATTAAATACTAAATAGGCAAAACTGTTATCATAGATAATTTGCTTTGGTTTTGTATGCACACCAAAACTTAGCTTTCCATAAGAAAACTTGAGAAATAGAACCATAAAATAAAACGTTTCAAACTTCATAAAACGTCTCCAAAATTTTTAGAGACTTTGCAGAGAGACATCTAGGGTTTAGAAGGACTTCCTAGAGAACAATTTCAGTATGTCTATCTAGTTTATTTATTGTGGATGAGATAGTTTGAAAGAAATTTAAATAATCTTTGGATTAGTTTTAGGAGTGTATGGATTAAAATTATTTGTAAACCTCCAGATGAACTTTCTTGCTCACAGTGGTGCTAATATTCTTCATTTGGGGGGGGGGAAAAACAACCTTGAAGTTAAGTATAACTTTAAAATACATTTATAGAGTGTCGTCAAATCACATTAAATGATTGTTTGTGCATGGTATTGTGAATTTAATACATATTTGAATTGGCCACAAATGGTTAAGAACCCAGTAACCAAACTTACTGGATTTGAACCTTGGCTTTGCTGCTTACTGTCTGACCTTAGGCAAATTTCATCACTTAATCTGAGCTTCAGTTTCTTCATTTATAAATTAGAGATGATATCTAGCTAATGGAATTTTCTAAGGATAAAAATTAGCTGATATTTATAAGCTACCCACAGATGTCCACCATGTAGTTGCTGCTCCATAAAGGGTAGCTGTCCACATTATTATATTCTTTTTCTGTGACTTGACAGGAATATAATGCTTTATTTGTCTTTCATCCCACATTCTGTCAGGCAAAGTGACTCCATAGGGTAGCTGTTTGATAACCATTTGATGAAACAGTTGGATAGAGGGCAGACATTTTAGTAAAAGGCAAAATATTTATACGATCTGAAGAGAAACCGGAGTATAGGGGAGGCATTTTAAAAGGAAAAACTCAGGTATCTTACTCAGGAAAGTAAGATGGAAAAGAAAATTTGCTTGGACTTACAAGGTGGCACAGTTCATTTCTAATGTACAGATTTCCTTTATTCATTCTCTGTTCTCCCTTCTACTACAGTGGACTTTCTAAGGTAAATAAAAATATAGATGATGAAATGACAGTCCAAGGATCTTGCCTTGGTGTTGCAAAGGTATCTATTAGTCTCTTGTAGTCCTCGTTTGTTTCAAAATTCACTGAGTAAAAAGCAAATTGGGATGATAGAAAAGATTTTAAAAGATAGTTTCTCACGTTCTAAAGAAGGGTGATAGGAAAAGATATACTAGATACCAGAACATAGCTACCATTCTTAGACTCTATTGATTTAGAATATTTGATCATTAAACAGCTTTAGACTCAAAGCAAACATCTTATATATAAATAATTTCCTAGAAATTGTTTATGAGATGAAAACATAAAATATTTTTCAAATATTTTAGCAAATTAATTTGAAAAATATTTGCAACAGTTAATTTGTATCATTGAAGCTGACTCAGGAAGACTACTTAAAAATATTCAGAGCTTCAAGTTACTTTAAAAAGTGAAAACTAGCAAAGAAAATTACTTTTAAAATATTCTATAGTTGAGACTTCACACTAAATCATATTTAGTCCATGCGTTCTGCTGACAAAACAACCTGCAATGAGATGAAGACAAAAATGGGTACTAGAAATAAATGTGGTCATTCTTTTTTTTTCATTGAACTTTTGCCACGAGTCCTTATGTATGTTTTTTGTGTAATAACTTTGTGGTTATTACAAAAACTTATGAAATATACACTTACATCATCCCAACAGCATGGATCATATCACTGGGATAAGACTTCAGTAATTTGCTCTAAGTCAGTGGGATTTATTGAATTCAGAGCTCAGTGGCTACTCTGTCATGGAGAGACGACGGAACTCTAAACACCATAAGAAATGAGGACAAAGAATTTTAAATTTTGCTCAGTTCCTTTACATGTTTCCAGTTCTCATATTTGTAGGATTGAACCAAGGGGTAAAAGGTACTTCAAAAATGTATAAATGCTTGACCCAGAGCATCTAGAGAACAAGTATATGGCACTGTGGTAAAAATTTTAAGAGAACTTTTTCTCTAAATTCTCTTATTCTCTTTTGTTGATCCTGAGGTAGGTCAGCATTTAGGGAAATGGCACTTTTATTTTCTGGGCTTTGGTAGCTTCTAGGCCTCTCTGTTTTTAAAATATGAACTGCAGTGGTCTTTTCCACTTAGGCAGTTTGTCATCTTGTGATGAATTTATTTAAAGCAAAAAGCTTTTTCCTTTTCATCTGTTAAGAAAAAAAATATATGGTTAAATGAAATGATTCATACAGGACACTGTCACAAAACCACTTAACAATGAATTGACTAATTTTCATGCATTTTCTTTATGTTTGAGATTAATTTTATAATTCTGTGATATTTATTTATTGTAGGATGTAATTAAAACCATCATACAGAGTGGTGGCATCAAGCATCTAGTTACCATGGCAACGAGTGAGCATGTAATAATGCAGAATGAAGCCCTTGTTGCTTTGGCATTAATAGCAGCTTTAGAATTGGGTAAGTACCCCAGTGACAAACTTATTTTTTCCTATTTTTATCTTGGTTGAAAGGAAGCACAGGAGTGGAATTGAAGTCAGACAGAGCCTTGACTGGAAGTATTTTGCCAGTGTGTGTCTGTGCCTGTATCTGAATATATGGAAAATCATATTATATAGGCTGTTACCACAGCTGTCCCCTTTGGTTGTGCTTTTGGTAGCATTTTTAGGGCAATGCTTTAAGGTTTGTTTAACTTTTAAGTAGTGTCTCAAATTATAGCCACTTAGAGAATATCGAAAACCTTTTAAGCAGGCTTCACAGATAATGAAACTATATTTAGAGTACAGCAGTATAACAAGAGTCCACTATTCTGGTAACCCAAACTTTCTCTTCCATCTCTGCAGGTTCTCTCTGCTACTGATTCTTGCTAATCTCCTTCTCTATCACCGTGGTTTCTATTGCTTTGTAGCATTGCCTTTACCCTAAAGTCTCATTTTCTGTGTCGCTCTTCTGTGTATGTTGTGTTTAGAACTCTCCAAAAGCAAGTCTAAATGGTTCCATTAGTTTCTTTTTTTTAATGCTTTAAAATATTATTTTATTAATTTGCTTATAGGTACTTCAAATTGTTAACTTTTCTATTGTTCTCTGATACAACTTTTTAAAATATGTGCACAGAGCAAGTGAGATAGAAAAAATGAACTCCCAAGATTCCTTTCTAGCCTCATCTTTTTGAGACTTTTTGACTCTACAAATAAGTTTTTTTGGGGTGGGAATTTGATCAACTTTGAGGTTTTAGTTCAAGAGTCCTAGACTTCTAAGGTCTTTGTACCTTTTTTATTTTCGTTTTACCGATGTGGTATACAATTCAGGGTTAGGAATACAAGTGGTCATCATACAGGTGAAGTTTGTGCTTCCCTTTGGTCCTTACTGTGCCTTGTTTGAGATCAGGTAGCCTTATTGGTGTTGATATGTATTCTCCTCCTTCCTCCCCCTCCACCATAGTTTCCCACTACTGCCAGCCCCTTTCTTAGAATATTATTATAAATGTTCACGGTCCGCTTATGACGAGAACGTGTGATTCCATTAGTTTCTAACAAGTAGCATCCCTATTGGGCATAATTCCACTCAACTTAACAATGAATTGACTGATTTTGAGAAGCTAACTCATAGGCATTTGGTTTATGAGTAGCAACCCTTGGCTTAGGAACTGACCCCTGATACAGTCAGCCAGGGATAGTGTATCAGCATCACGTGGCCTGTAGCTAAGATCTAAGGCTGCTTTATACAAAGGACTTGAGATGAAGTAGGTACGTCTTGTCTAGTTCAGCGTCATTTTAGTAAATACTGTTAACTGATTACCTCTTATTTATATTTATCTGATTACCTCTGATTTATGTTCATAATTCTCCCTGGGGCAAGTAGACCCACCCACCCCAGTTCCAGGAAGGAGAAACCAAAAGATAAATATGGGGTATTCTTACAGTGTCAGAATCACTCAGATTCTGGGTATGAACAATTAAAATTTTTATCCTCTTAAAGGGTTCTGAGTTTGTAAACAATTTGTAATCATTAAGAAATCATGAGTGTACTATAAGGACATAAAATTTGTTTGAATTTTAAAGATAAAATAGAAGACTTCAAGAACATTTATGCTTACTCTCTGTGACTTTGGTCTGTGGGTTTGTGATGCTTTGGAACTCAGTTCTAGTCCTGGCTTAGTTTGTGATTTCACACATGGTTTGATTAAATTATATGAGTCAATCTAGATGTTCCTGTAAGCAGCAAGCCTCTGGAAGGGGTGGGGAGTCAGGGGAGAAATCTGATACCAAACTGGATTTGTGACCTGATTTTAAATGACTCAGGGTGATGGAGTAATTTCAGAATATCCTGATCTCCCAGCCTTGGGTGAATCTCATTTCGATTCTTCATAACTAGTATCTTCCAAACAAGCTGCAATTTTATCAGCCACCTAATAGTTGAGTATTTGCCTGTGTCTGATCACCTTACCTAGAACTGTATAAAATGACAATACATATTCACACTTTTATTGCTGCCCAATGTTTCCTAGGCCCCTTGAGCCTATGATATAAAAATAAACCTATATAGCCTTTTAAAATTTATTTTATTGATACATAATATTTTACATATTTATGGGGTACAGGTGAGTTTTTTTATATGCATAGAATATGTAATGATCAAGTCAGGGTATTTGAGGTATCTACCACCTTGAGCATTTATCATTTCTATGTGTTGATAACATTTCAAGACTTCTGTTCTAGCTACTTTGAAATGTATACAATATATTGATGCTAACTATAGTGACCCTAGTCTGCTATTGAACATTAGATTATTTTTTCTATCTAACTGTAAGTTTGTACTCACTCACCAGCCTCTCTTCATTGCCTTTTCCCACCCTGACACCCTTCCCAGCCTCTGGCATCTATCTTTCTATTCTCTCGTTCCTTGAGGTCATGTTTTTTAGCTTCCCAATATAAGGGAGAACATTCTGTGCCTGACTTACTTTATTTAATTGCCTTCAATTCCATCCATGTGGCTGCAAATGATAAGATTTCATTATTTTGTTATGACTGAGTAGCATTCCATTGTGTGTATGTGTGTATACATATACATATCACATTTTCTTTATCCATTTGTCTATTGATGGACACTTGATTCCATGTATTTTCTTTTGTCAATATTACTGCATTAAACATGCATATACAGTATCTCTTTGATATACTGATTTCTTTTCCTTTGGATAAATACCCAGTAGTGGCATTGCTGGATTGAATAGTAGTTCTACCTTTAGTTTTTTGTGAAATCTCCATACTGTTTTCTATAGAGGTGGTACTAAGTTGCATTCCCATCAACAGAGCATAAGAATTCCCTTTTCAGCCGGGCTCGGTGGCTCAGCCTGTAATCCCGCACCTTTGGGAGGCTGAGGTGAGTGGATTGCTTGAGCCTGCGGGTTCA